ACATTTAGTAAGTACATGGATATCCATGTAAGGGACTGAGAGGAAAACCAACACTACTAATATACCTGTATATAGGTCTTATAAATGGAATGGCGTGACACATTCTCACTACCCCTCCTCCTTAATCCCTCAGCGGAAGCAACAATACCCTGTCCCCAGTGCCCCAGGCTTTTTAGTCGGACTAGCCGAAGGCGGTCCGACTTTAAATTTACCTTTTAGTCAATCTATCTATCTATCTATCTATCTATGTGTCATGTCGCGTTTGGACCACCGGAAGTTAAGAATTTAATAATTAACTATTGGGTTGGTTGTGTTATTACATGACCGGAAGCTCAGGCGTATTGATGTACGAATATCGTTAGTAAATGTTATATGCTACTTGGCTTTTATATGACAAAAAAACTATTCGTTTACAAATGTGGTATCTGTGATCTCATCGGAATGCGTCTGTCTATGCATTAGAAGTACGCGCATGTGCAGATCGCATAGAGTTTCGAGTTGTATGCTTTTAAAACTGAATCAATATCCTTTCTAGTGTTAGACAGTCTTGTGGGGGCAAAGATTTCAAATTAGAACAAGAAGAAACTTTGTTTATCAATAACAGAAAGGCGAATTTAATGATTTTATAGGCATCTTTTTCCTTGTWAAGTTTTTATTTTCTTTGCCTGAGAGGTCAACGTTTTAGATATCATATATCACAACTTAGCGAGACATTTGTCTGAGCTAGTTGATGTTATCAGTCAAAGCAAGCCACGTTCTTATCGCGTTAATTACATTGACCTTTTAGGTCAAGTTTMTTTAAAGTCTCAATAAATTTTGCATATTTTGAACTAGACGCTCTTATTASAYCGTGAGTTCGRCTGTTTTGGAAAAAAAAGWTAAGAAATATTTTTATCCATGTAATAACCAGTCTTTCTCACTTTTCACAAGCAGCTAGTCCGACTCCACGCTCCCAGAGCGTCTAGTCTGTGCATAGATTGGCCATTTATCCATCTGCATACGCACAAACATCCTTAGCCCCGTTTTAGGGGCTAAAATCGTAAAAAAAAAATTGTTGTAATCATTTTTCCTAGATGGTCGAAGTCCATTTGGAAAGATACCATTGTTGGAGCTTGGTGACGGCAGAACAATCTGTCAATCAGGAGCTATTCTTAGGTTTTTAGCCAATGAATTTGGTATGTATGTAACATTAATGTCCTCTTTTCCCAAAGGCTATTTCTTGAGCATCACTTGACTCCATTTCTTGCTGAGCATATTGATTGTTCTTTATATTTTTGTTTTGTGTTCTTTTTATAATACTTGTTGTTTTACCAATTTTAGGATTTTGCCCAAGTAGTAACTATGATAAAGCAAGTGCTGACATGATTTTAGACTCTGTCAAGGACATGCAAACAAAACTGGATTCTCAATTTTATGGAAACTACAAGAATCCAGAGCGTAGGGTAAGG